TGCGTGTAGCAAATAAAACACACTACACGCTCAGCGGTAAAGCTGAGTAAGCATATCTAATGCATCGAACATCCATATAAACTGAATCTAAATTCATAATCAAATCATTTGATATCATGCACACAATGTTCATTTCAGGCATTCACAGTTTTGGTATTGTTCAGTTCATATCAACACATTTTATTCAATAGTGCTCTTAAATTATTCTTAATCTAAGGCCAGATCATAACAACGCTCTTAGCTATTCTTAGTCTAAGGCCAGATCATAATAAGGCTCTTAGCTATTCTTAGTCTAAGGCCAAATCATAATTTCCATAACCAGATTCTTAAAAGGCAATTATTAATCAGACACTTAAACTATCATTAGTTTAAGGCAATTGATTTCAGACACTTAACTGTAGTCAGTTAAGGCAATCACACACTTAAACTATCATTAGTTTAAGGCAATCGATTTCGGACACTTAACTGTAGTCAGTTAAGGCAACAACAATATAGCGAATGGTCAACATTGTTAGCCTTGGTTTGCTAAGTCTCATGTTTTGATGTTAACAAACAATATAAGAGCTTAACGTTTGTTTAAGTGTTTCAGGAAAACAAGAATCCATTAAGATTCGGTACTCAAGAATGAAGTCGAAACACTAAAACTAGCGTAGAATAAAGGTAGAAACCAATGTAAGGATATGACTTTATATACCTATATTCACAAGCTCAAAAGCACTCACAAAATATGTTTAACTTCTATAACATACACCTCAGAAGAAATGGTCGTACCTTCCTTCTTCTTGGTTGCAAGGTATGTCTTGCAGTTTCTTCTCCAGTGGCCTGCCTTACCACAGTGATGACATTTGCCCTTTGAAACTCCTCCTATGGGTTTCTGGGTTGCAGATGAAGTGGACTTCGATTTAGGCTTTCTGGCCGTCCTAGCCTTAATCTTAATCCCCTTCTTCGACTTCCCCTTTCCGCCTTGGACCATAAGGACGGAAGCACCCTTGCCCTTAGTAAGGTTCTCCTCTGTAGTGTGGAGCATTTTAAGAAGCTCCGGAAGGGGTTTGTCAAGATCATGCATCATGTAGTTCATGACAAAACCCTTATACAGCTCAGGGAGCGACTGTAGGATCAGGTCCGTTGCCAGCTCCTTCTGCAAGGAGAACCTGAGTTTCTCCAGATTGGTTATGTAACCAATCATTTTGAGAACGTGCGGACCGACCGGGTTCCCTGAAGAGAGCTTGGAACTAAAGAGAGCCTTACTCACGAGAAAACGTTCATGCCTGGATTGCCCTTGGTATAGCTGCCGCAAGGCCACGATCATCTCGTGGGCCTTCATGTCCTCGTGCTGTTTTTGCAGCTCGGTTATCATGGTAGCCAGCATGACACAGTTAACCTGGTTGTCATCCTTAACGTGTTTCTCGTAGGCATCTTTGACCGCTTTCGGGGCGTTAGCAGGAGGGGCAGGAGGAATGGGCTTTTCGAGCACATACTCTTTCTCATCCATGCGGAGAACAATGCAGAGATTGCGTTGCCAGTCAACAAAGTTTGTTCCGTTCAATTTATCTTTATCCAGAATGGAACACAGGGCGAGGTTGTTTGTGTTGTTGTTTGCCATGTACAGAGTTTTGCGAAGATAGTTATTATCATGAATTAAGTATCTAATAGGTCTTTATTAAATACTCTCCCACTATTTCTAACAAGTCAACTACCCTCAGGTACGGAACCTATTGACTTGGGGTTTCTATTTGAAGAATACCCTAGCGGGCCAAGATCCATATTTTATATAACTATAGTTGTGCTTTGCATCTTGCCCTACAGTTAAATTATTTAGGTAGGAATTCATTCCAATTGCAATCGTTATTACATTTCTTGGTTCGGTGGATTCTTTTAAATAAAATTCTTAATTGGGCCAGATCCATCGCCTCTCCTCGCGGTATCGGGTGGGGACGTACTCCTTCGTGAAGGCTCGATCAAAGCAATCCCAGGTCCATGGCTTGGGCGTGTGTGGATCCTGGTCAATGCGCTTCCACCAATCATGTGCTCCCTTCCGGAACATCTGTGACGCCAACTCCGAGCGATCTGCATCAGGGACTCTCAAATTCTTGAGTACACGGTCCATCTGCTCAAGCCAATCCAACGCAATCTGGGGCTCCCCCATCTTGTCTCCTCGAAACTCTTCCGCTCCATTATCCTTCAACGTCTTGAAGGTAACGATGCGCGGCTGCGGCTGTGGTGGTGGCGGCTGGAACATGGGCATAAGCTGCGCCATGTGCTGCATATAATGGGCCATCATGGCCGGGAACATCTGCTCGTAGGCCACCTACGGTATCGCCAACGGTGGCATCACTGGAGGTGGTACGACTGGCGGTGGTACAGCTGGTGGCTGTCTCGCTGGCTCAGGTTGATTCTGTTGCTGCCCTCCGTCACCCGGAGGCGTGAAACTCGAACCCTCGGTGTTCACCGTGTGCACGCTCACGTACTCCGGCTCCGGAACGTACTGACCATGGGTCGATTCTTGACTCATTCTAAAATAATAAGGAAATTCCCAAGTCAGATCTTAACATATAACAGATAAAGCTATAAATACTTATTACCTTCCTGGGGCAGAGGAGTTACGTGACATGCAGATGCGGCTGGATTATTCATTGTATTTTATTTTGAAAGGGTCCAAAGACCGATTTTAAAACCAAATGCTCCGATACCAAAATGTAACACCCCAACCCGCATAACCCAAACCCGTGAGACAGCGGACCGGTGTGCCACTGGATTGGTATCCGAATATACAACATTTTCAAAACAATTTAAAACAAACATTCTATCAATACATATAAAAATCCATCGGAGTAATTTAAAATAATGCAGAAGCCTTTTTAAAGTCAAACAACTTGGGATCTTGCCCGAAAACGTAATAAGCATTAA